GGGGTTCCTCCAGTCTCAGTCAGATCATTAAGTCTGGTCTTCTTACTGGAATTTGAGTTCTGCACCCTACCTTTCTCCTGCTCCATCCGGGACTTTCTGTTGTGTTCCCTGTCAGGGCAGTCATTGGTGGTAGCTGGGCACCATCTAGTTCTTCTGGTCTCAGGCTGATGAAGTCTCTGGTTTATGTGGCCTTTTCTGTCTCTTGGGCTACTACTTTCCTTGTGTCTTTGGTGTTCTTCATTCTCCTTTACTCCAGGTGGTTGGGACCAATCGAAGCAACTTAGATGGCCGCTTGCAAGCTTTTAAGACCCTAGATGCTACTCACCACAGTAGGATGTAGAACATTTTCTTAATAAGCTTTGTTATGCCAATTGACCTAGACGCCCCCTGAAAGCATGGTCCCCAAACCCCTACCCCTGTACTCTGTCCCTCAAAGTGTTTGATTGTATTCAGGAAACTTCTTAGCTTTGGTTTAGTTCAGTTGTCCTAACTTCCCCTGTAGTGTGTGCTGTCCTTCCCTTCACCTAAGATAATTCTTATCTACTATCTAGTTAGTAAATAATCCTCACACTCCCTCCCCACCCTCGTAACCATCAAAGAATGTTTTCTTCTGTGTTTAAACCTTTTCTTCAGTTCTTATAATAGTGGTCTTATAGAATATTTGTCCTTCTGTGACTGACTAAATACACTCAGCATAATGATGGGAGGCTTTTTTGATTGATAACCTTTGGGGCTTATACATACCACTTGTTGTTTTAGGAGAACTCATTTTTTCAGATCATGCTAAATCTAAAAATAAATGCTTTCAGTGTCAGGAATGGCATTGCTTAAAAAGCTAATGGCAGGATAAGCATTTGAGGTAGTTTTTATTGACATATTCGTTAGTTTTTATTCATTGTGGAAATGTATACTTGACTAAAACCACATGTGACTATGGAAACCACTTTTGTAGTTCAGGATAGATAGATTTTTTTGTGTATTTAGCTATATTGTATTAAATTGTTATTGCACTTAGCTTAAAAGAAGGATTGAAATTATATTTAAAGGGATCACCAAATGTTACTATTTGTGAAACTGAATGTTTTGTGCACCCATTGCAAACATTATCTATAAATCAGTACTTGGGAAAATTCTACTTTCTTAACTTGTTGATGCAAGGACTAAAATATGACAAATTAAACAGAAAAAAAAGTAAAAACTAGCTACAAAGGAACATTTTGACTGATAGACTTCTTAAAAGTAATAATGGAAACCAATATACAATTTTATCTTCAAAGTATTGAGAGAAAAGAGCTATAAACTTAGGATTTTATATCCATACTAATCTATAATATGATAATGAAGCTAAATTAAGAATGGTTTTCAGACCAAAATTTTAAAAGAGACAGTTTATCACTCTTGTACTCTTGTGAAAGAATTTCTGAAGGAAATACTTCATTAAATAGAATTCAGATTGAGGGAGTCAGATACAAGAAGAAAAAAGGAACAAAGGAAGTGATAAACTAAAAAAGGCATTGACGGCATAGGAAATAATTACACTGACTAATCTGGAGGCATTAAAAATAATGTGGAACTAAAACATCATTAATAATAGCATGAACAAGAGATTAAAGTTGTAAGTGATTTGGAAGAAAGGTAGAGGGTTAACCCAACTCTCCTTGTTAAAATTTTAAAGATAATCCCTAAGATAAGAGAGAGAGAATGTATAACTTCTGAACTATTGGGAGAAAAAGAGCAAATGAAGAAAACTCAATCATCCAAAAGAAGGCAAGTTAGTAGGAGAAAGAAGCATAGAAAAAGCAAGATAAAGAGCATGAAAGTAGATGGAAGATATAAACCCAAATAGTCATTAAAATAAGTGTAAATTGACCAAACTTGCCAGTTAAAGGGCAAAACAGTTAGAATGCATTAAAAAGTATAACCCAGTTGTCTACTGGCTTTTGGAGAAATATCTAACATATAAGGACACATAAATGTTGAAACTAAAAGGGTAAATAAAGATTCATTGAATAAGTAACTACGAGAAAGCCAGTGTTGCCATACTAATATTAGATATAAGAGATTTTAAGATTAAAAACATTAGTTCGGGATAAAGAGGATTAATACCTTGATAAAAGAAACAATTCCGAGGAAGATATAACAGTTCTAAACATAGGCACCTAGTTATATGTCCTCAAAATATATTGAACAAGGAGAAACAGACTAATCCATAGTGGTAGATTTTAGTTGAATAACAATTATTAAGCTTAATCGGTAGGAATGACATTGATCCTTTAGAAACAGACTCTCAGACATATGTAAACAATGTATTACAGAAGTGGTATCACAAATCTGAAGGAAATGACATCTATAGAAAAAAGATTAAATTAGATATCTACCTCATACCATGCACAGACATAAAACCTACATGTGAATTTTCATGAGAAAAATGTGGGAGAATGTCTTTATATACTTGGGGAGGAAAGATTTCTTAAATAAGATATTTTGCAACTAATGTTCCACAACAAAAGATACAAAGTATAAAGATATGCTACAGATAGCAAGAATATATTTGCAGCTCATAAATTGGACAAGTGCTTGGTACCCAAGTAATTACAGAACTCTTACAAATCAACAAGAAAAAGACTAATAAACAATAGAAAAAATGGAAAAGATATGAATATGCAATTCAAAGAAGAGGGATCCTTGATGAACAGTAAATATATGAATAGATGCTCAAACAGTGCTAAGTATTTTAAACCTATTCATTTATGTGATCTTCATAACAACTCTATTAAAGAGGCACTGCTATTATTACTCGTTTTACAGTGGAAGAAACTGAGGCACAAAGATGTTAAGTAACTTGACACTGGTCACACAGCTAATGAGAATTGGCCCTGAAATTTGAATTTAGGCATTTTGGCTCTAGAGCCAGTACTTTTTATCTCAATAAATATAAAACTACGTTTCACACCTACTGTATTGGTGAGAATTAAAGTCTATCTATACCATAAATAGATCATATGTAGCATTATTTTTTAAGTTGCCTAGGATACTGTTTTCATAATACTACAACAAACTGTGTGAAGTTCATTATTCGTGCTGTGAACAAAAGTCAATGGGCCATATTGCATCTATGCTTATATATTTTTTGATATAATTCCACTCACCTGAGTTTGACAACATGAGCTCTGATGAACTGATTGCTTAAATTTGATTCTTTGAATGCTTTACTAATCTGTAGAAAGGAAAAAAAAAATCTCTCTGTCATTACAGTTCTTTCTCTCCTCCCTTCCAATCTTGCAACATGAGACTGATGGTAAATGAGGAATAGAGAGGCTTGGGTTTTCAGTTCGGTTCAATTCCTTCATAGTTACATATGGGATTTATTTAGGCAGGTTATGTAACCTTTCAATGCAGTGCCTATTTCTTCATCTGTCACACTAAGATAATACCAGTCAGGATGCTTCTTTGCTAGACGTCATCCTAAACACTTCAAATATTTTACTCAGTGAGAGCCATGTTATGTGACTTGGTAGCTGTTCCTAAGGGGTTTGGGGCAGGAGCTAAGCCATCACTAGGTGAATCCACTGATACAACTCAAATTTTGTGATCCCCCCTCAATGATGGGCTTTTAGATGAATGAAACCAGATTAAAATGGTATTAAATATCTTCTAAGAAATATACCACTGACTGGCATTGCTTCACATGGTAAAATGGCTCCTCTAATCAGAAGTAGGAGTGGTGCCACTTCTGACATTGTCTTACTTTTCATTTACTGGTTCATTATTGTGCTTGCATGTTAGTATTATCTTCAAATTGCAGGCTTGTTTTTTTTTTTTTTTCCCCCAGGATTCTTCTTAGTCTGTTTGCTGACTTGGGGAGGTTCATTTTACTTTTAGAACTAAGCAATATGATCTTTAAATCCACTGGTAAACTGCACATCATTGAAATACATTGAGAATAAGTGAAAGTGCGCTGAAGCTCTAGTCAGTCCTACCGTGTTATTCTCCTCCTTCTCTTCCCTCAGGGTGTCTCCATGCACATGCCACGTGACAACTGACATAAAAACTAAACACGGATGCCAGTGCCAATCCATTTGTTAAATAGTAATGAAGCTAAATTTCTTTTCTTCTTTTCCTTCTCTTTCTTTTCCCTTCCTCTTTCTGTCTCTCTCTCCCTCCCTCCATCCCTTCCTTTCTTTTTTTCTTTCTCCCCCAGAGGAAGACACATGTAGAGTGACATTTGAGAATTTTCTTCCATCACTCCAGTGGATTGTTAGTCCTTCTTGGGATGCACAACCCCATTTTGGAGATCATTTTACTCTACCATACAGTATTGCAGACACGTGTTGCAATATTACCTCTGACACTAATGGGGAATTTTAATGGTTCAGCTAATCACAGGTATTAATCCTGATGGAAGTCTTTCACTTTATTTGGAAAGACCCAGTCAATGAGAATGTACTCATAGTTTTGATACGTGTACTTTGCAAACAGGTGTTTTCATGATTTCTAAATGGCTTCCCTCATTCACTCATTCAACAACAGCTTTTGAGCACTTTTTGTGTGACACATGCTTTCTGCCAGGTATTAGTATACAATGGTGAGTGAAAGCAGACTTAGTCCCTGTCATCATGGAAGTTACATCTAAGGGAGAAAGACAGGGACTAATCCAATAATCACCCACATTTAAATAAAATTATAACTGTGATAAGTGCAACAGTATAGTAGAAGGATTTGATCCAATCAGGGCAGCTTTTCAGAGTAAGTATTTATTGAGCTGTGAGCTTCAGGAAGAACTGGAGTTAGTTGGGTAAGAGGAAAGAAAGAGCCTTACAGATGGACAGAGCAGTACATGCAAATTCCTGCAGTGGGAAGGAGCATGTTGAATGAACGAAAGAAGGCCAGTGCAACCGTAGCATGGAGACCAAGGAGGCTAGGGTGGTAGGAAAGCTAGAACATGTGGGTCTTGTCAGTGTGTGAAACATTTGGTCTTTATTGTAAATAATGGGAATCCACTGAAGTGTTTTAAACAAAGGTAGCATAATCAGGTTTGCAATTTGAGAACAACCTCTCTTGCTACATGAGAATAATCAATTTTAGGAAAAAAATGGTGCAAATGGACAAGTTAATTATGGTGCTATTTTAGTATTTCAAAGCAGAGGTGATTCTTTGGGTGGACATGGTGACAGCGTATATAGAGAGGAATGAATTTGAGGGAAATATAGGGAAAATCTACAGGGATTGGTGATGGATTGGATGTTTGGAGTGATAGAGAGCAGTATGTCAAGGATGAATTCTAGGTTTCTGATTTGGATAGAACAAAAGGTGTTGTCATTAATGTAAGTAGGAATTACTAGAAGAAGGCTAGGATGGTGGGGAGGGGAATCTTGAGTTTGATTTTGGGCCATAATGTATTTGAGATGTTTTTGAAATAGCCAAGTAGAAATATCAAGCTGGCAATGGATGAACAGGTCTAAAGTACAGTGAGTCATTGGTGATAGGTGGTGGTTAAAGTAATGAGCATGAATGAGGTCATTTAGAGAGAATATAGTGTGAGAAGAGAGGAGGGTGTAGGACTTGTGGAATTTCAACCTTTAATGGCCGGGCAGAGGAGAATGTGCCTGTAAAGAGCACAGAAAAGAAGTGACCAGAGAGGCAGGGAGGGTAAGAAAAATAGGTGAATGGGTGCCATGGATATCTCACATCATAATCACAAAGTTATACACTTTTTGAGTTCTATTCCAATGATTTGATTTTACTGATGAAAAAATAGAGGACCAAGGAAGAGAAGTGAATTGCTTAATATAATAGAAGACTCTGGAACTAAGACCCCTGTCTTCATAGGCCTCTTCTGATCTTTCAGTATCATCACTTTGTCTGTGTGACAAGGATAACAATGATACTCTCGTTACCATGGGGAAATGGTATGACCCTTGGACTTGGAGTCTGGAGACTGATTTGAATTCTGGTTTTACTACTTTCTGGTTGAATGGCCTTTGACATGTTTCATAATCTCACTGCCTGTACTTACTGGTCTGTATATATGATCCATTAATTCATTTGACTGTTGTGAGATAAAGATAAAGATTACATAATAAAGTAAAAGTGCTTTGTAAACTATAAAGTGCTGCATTAGAGTATTTTGTCTTAAATGTTCAAAGTATTTTCATAGAAAGATAAATATGTGAGATTAACTAGGGAAATCATAATTAAAAGAACTTAAAGGGAAATCTTTGTCTACCAAATGTTTAAATATAAAGCCAAAGTACTCTAAATAGTCTGGTGATAGTGCAGGCAAAGATTAATCAGTGAGAGAGTAAAGTACAGAAAAAAAGACATGAAGGATTTCAGCATATGATAAAGGTGGCATGACAAATAAGTCAATTGCACTATTTAACACACTGTATTGGGACCTCCACCTAGCTATTTTTTTGGGAAAAAAAATGGCTCTCTACCTTACTACAAAATAAATTCTGGATGAATCAAAGATAAACTTATAAAAATAGAAATAACAATAGTACAAAAAGAAAATGTAAATTAACATTATTAAAGAATATATGGTATGGGAAAAGCTATTCTAAACCTGGCATGAAAGTGAGATATCATAAGAATGGATTGATAATTTTGACTATATGAAAAATTAAGCCTTCTATTGGGCATGAAAAAACAAAACACGTTTTAAACAAGAATGAAAGTCAAGCCACATATTAGGAAAATATGTACAACATAAATGACAGACAAATGTTAATATTTCTATCAATCAAAATTTTTTTTTCTATTTCATATAAAAACGAAAAATATTTCAATAGGAAAATGGGCAAAGTTATGACCAGGCAATTCACAAATGAAGTTACAAAAATGACCTATAAGTGTACTGAGAGAGATTAAATCTCACTAGTGATCAAAGAAATGCAAATCAAAATAATAATGAGCTATCATTTCTCACCTCTTGGATGTGAAACAATTAAAAAGATTTACAAATACCTAGTGTTTTTAATAAGGAGCCCTGATGGCGCAATGTTTAAGCACTTGGCTGCTAACCGAAAAGGTTGTCAGTTCCAACCCACCAGTCGCTCTGTGGGAGAAAAGACCTGGAAATCTGCTCCCATAAAAATTACAGCTTAGGAAACCCTATGGGACAATTCTACCCTGTCCTATAGGGTCTGTATGAGCTGGAATCAACTTGATGGTACACAACAGTGTTGCTAATAATGGGGAAATAAGCATATAATACTTTTATATACTGCAGATGGGAATGTAAATTGGGGCACTTATGGAGTGCAATTTGGAAAGTAAAATAAAATTTAAAATGCATAAACCTCCGTACTGATATAAACAACTGATTGAATAAATAAATACTTGGGAAGAATAGACAAAAAGATGAATTTTAAATAATTTATGTAGACATTCTGCCCTCAAGTGTGGTCACACATAGTACAGTCTGAAAAGGGGGGAGGAGAGTAACTTTCCAGTGTAAAAGCCTGATACCTGATAAACACTACCTCAGCCAGGTGACCAAGGTCAACATCAACAGTAATAAGTCATGTTGAGTGTATGTACCCTTGATATTATGTAATGAAAATGACACTTATCCTCTGTTGTCTTTCTTCCCCAAACCCATAACTCCAGTCTAATCATGAGAAAACATCAGAAAAATATATGTGAATGTTCTATAAAATAATTGGCCTGTATACTTCAAAACTGTCAAGGTTATAAAAAACAAGGAAAATCTGGTAAACTGTCGCAACCTAGAGGAGTCTAAGAAGACATGACTACTAAATTAATGTGGTATTATGAATGGGGTCCTGGAACAGCATGAAGACATTAGGCAAAAACTAAAGAAATCTGAATATTGTATAGAATTTAGTAAATAACAGTGTATCAGTATTGATTCATTAACTATAACAAGTGTATCATAGTAATGTAAGATGTTAATAGTAGGGAGAACTTTCTGTAGTGTCTTTGCAACTTTTCTGTAAATCTAAAATCATTCTAAAATTAAAAAGAAAACTTCACTAAAATACAGGAAAATTTTTAAAAAACTCTCTAAACTAGTTGTCATCAAGTCAGTTCTGCCTCAGGGCAACCTCACGTGTGTCAGAGTAGAACTGTGCTCCATGGTCTTTTTTCTTTTTATTATTGTGGTAAAAATAGAGATAAAATGTTTGCCAATTCAACAATTTTTACATGTATAATTCACGGACGTTGATCACATTCTTCATGTTGTGCAACCATTATTACTATCCTTTTCTGAATTAGTCCACCATCCATAGGGTTTTTAGTGGGTTGGTTTTTCAGAAGTAGATTGCTAGCCGTTTCATTGCAAAGTGTCTCTGAGTGGATTCGAACCTCTAAGCTTTCAGTTACCAGCCAAGCATATTAACAGTTCGTACCACCCAGGGACTCCAAAAACTCTCCAGAGAGAAATAAAAAAATGCGTAGACCTTGTATATGGTAATTGTACTTATGAGAATATATCCCAAGGAGATAATCACCCAAGTGTGCAAAGATGCATGAGCAAGGATAGTCATCAGAATGTTAAATACAGAAAAACTGGAAACAAATTAAACTTCTGCAGATATAGAGGACTGGTTAAATAAAATATTATACATCTGTTTACTGTAATGTTCAGTTATTTAAAATGATGTTTCTAAATTTGTTAATATTTTAATATTTGCATGACATTTTTAAGAAAAAAGCAGATAATATCATATAGTTTAATTCCATTGACAGAAAATTGTGTGTGTGTGTGTTGTGCATGTTTGATGTATGTACTTTGCATAGGAAGTATCTAAAAGAAGTTCATCAAAATGTTAATAGTGGATATATTACATTGGGGTTTTGTGTATTTTTTTTTCTTCTCTACATTTTCTTGAATTCCTGAATTTTCTGTTTGTGGATTATCTTTATAATAAGAGATAATATAAAACTACTTTGATTTTGATAAAAATGTCTATACATACATTATAACTGAATTTGCAGAACAGTTTTGAGAATAATTTAAAAATAATAAGCTTGAATATGTAATTTTATTGTCATTTTCTAAGATTTATCAAATACCTTCCAAAAGTGCTGGTGGTACTTTTCAAAATAAATTTATCTAGTTCATGTCTTTTCATATTGCTAAATATTGTTATGCTTTATTGTAATTCCTCTCCAAATTAGCTTTTTGCAATTTTACGTAGGCACCATTAAGGATGAGCTGACCTAACATATCTGATCTATTCTAACAGGAACTGAGTGGTCTCATTAGGGTGGAGGACATCTCCTGCGTTTTGCTATAACAACAAATAGCTGGGTATTAATTCCTCAGAATGAAGCTGGAATTCATCTCAATACACACCCTTTTGGTTTGCTTTCCTTTACTAGGACTCCTGGTGGCACAGTGGTTAAGAGCTACAGCTGCTAACCAAAAGATCAACTTTGCTATCCTTTATTAAGCTGGGTGCATGCCTGAAATATTACAAGATGTTTTGGTGTGGGTGTGAGGACCACCTTATGAATAACTGTGTGCTCAGACTGGCCTCCTGATGGTGTGTATCTCTAGCTGCTTCTTTAGAAAAGTTGGGGGTGTCCATTGGTTTGAACACCAACCAATGACATCTCACAGTACAAGTCATGTAACTAAATATTCCTGTGTGTTTCTAAGAACAGATTGGGAGCAGAATGTAGTGAGTAGGGCAAAAAAGATTGCTTGGTAAGCCTTTGATGGAAGTTTTGTGTGAATTTCCACATTTTCTGGACTATTCCCTAATTAAGACTCTTTACCTCTTGGCTTTTTTTCTGGACCACTGTAGTGAGTTTCTAAGGTCCCTGGGTGGCACAAGCATTTTTTACTTAGCTATTAACCTAAAGGTTGGTGGTTTGAACCCACCCAGTGGCACCTAGAATAAAGGCCTAGCAGTCTACTTTCCTAAAAATTATAGCCAACTTGATTGAGCAGTTCTACTGTGTAACACATGGCATTGCCATGAGTTAGAATTGACTCAAAAGCAACAGGTTTGGTTTTTAGTTTGATAATGAGCTTCTAACTAGTCTTACTGTGTGCAGGCTCTTCTCTTTCTAATCTAATTTAGATAACTGAACATGAATCTGTCAGAGCCTGGTTACATCATGTTATGTACGTGTTCAGGACTTACTACCTACAAAATAAAGTCCAAAATTGTTAACCAAGCACATTCCTACTTCTGTGTCTTGGCTCATGCTTTGGCCATTTTATGTCCTGTTCATCCAAACTTGTATAACTCTGGTACTCTCATGCTATATCCCCACTATGTATCTTGCATCACAAGTATTTTTAAACTTATTTAATCTTCCATGATAGACTAGGTCTATGAAGGCAGGATCTACATCTGCTCTATTTTTGTATGTCCACAATATTTGGCAGAGTTAGCGCTCGATAAATATTTATTGAGAGAACAGGAGACTGCCACTTTTAACACTTTAATCTTATGCTCCCCAATGTTAACCCTACTTCTGCCTCCTATCCTAGCTTTACTTCCCAAGTCATTTCTAATTCAGCTGTCTATTCTGATTTATCATTAAATATTTAAATCATACACCTAACTTCCCTTGCTATAATTCCATGCTGGTAAGTCTTCTGGTAACTTGACTTCCAGTGAAGCTTGCTTCTAGGGAAAAGTGTTAGACAAGCTGATGATTCAGTCCCTCAACAGTGATAGCTCTCGTTATGATTAACTTACTGGTTCTCAAAGTGTGGTCCTTGGATCAGTAGCATCAGCATTACCTGGGAACTTGGTTTACAAATGCAAATTCTTGGGTCTTCCCAGACCTCTGAATCAGAAACTCTCAGGGGGAGTTCCAGCAGTCTTTGTTTTCTCAAGCCTGCCAGGTGACTCTGCTACATGCTAAAGTATGAAAACCACTGGAATAATTTATACTCTTAGGACTGTCTTTAAAAAGGTTAGGGTGAGTGAGCAATCCTGAGACTAGTCAACTCTGTCCCTGCAGGCCAGACACTGCTCTGTGGTGACATATGAATGCTGAGGGTCCACATGTGAGGTTTCCTGGCAGACAGTCAGTAAAAAAAAAACAAAAAAACAAACCATTGCCATCCATTCCAACTGATGGTGACCCTATAGGACAGGGTAAAACTGCCCCATAGAGTTTCCAAGGAGTACCTGGTGGATTTGAACTGCTAACCTTTTGGTTAGCAGACATAGCTCTTAACCACTATGCCACCAGGGCTTCCAGATAGTCAGTGGACCTCTACAAATGAGAGACCAAGCTTGCTTTGAATACCGTGAAACCTATGAGAACCGGAACTTTGACTGGACTGCCTTGTTTTTCTGGGTCTTGAAAGTTTTCTGCCTTTGACTGGGTGCAGTCCTACCACTTTTCTATTGTTCTCTATTAGTGGAAAATATTTGAGTTTTCCTTCTCTGACATGTTTCTGTCTTACACAGTTTCCGGCTTTCACAGGTTTTACTATATTTCCATTCAAACTTCTATGTCTATCATTGAGCCAAAGTATGGTATTGTCCAAACTATGTCATTATTAACATGGAAAACATATCTTTTAACACCTGCTGTCTTGTGTATTTGATTAGATAAGAAAATAGGAAAGAAGGCCAAATGAAAAGGATTTTAAAAGGCTATCTCGAGGGTAGCAATAATAAATGGTTATCTTGCACAGGCAATAGACTGCAACTATTTAAAATCGTAATCAAATAAAATGCATATTTATTCATGACCCTTCTAAAACCTTTTCACTCATGACTTAAGAAAATGTGAATGAGAACAGGTATACTAATAAATTATCTTCTAAAAACACAGAGAAACACATCTTTCATCACTTGTTGTTGGGTGCCACCAAGTCGATTCCGACTCATAGCAACCCTATAGGACAGAGTAGAATTGCCCCATAGGGTTTCCAAGGAGCGGCTGGTAGATTTGAAACTGCTGACCTTTTGGTTAGCAGCCTGAGCTCTTAATCACTTCACCACCACGGCTCCTTTCATCACTAAAGGGAGGAAAAATGCAAAGCATGTTGCATTTGCAAATGTATGAAAAATATTAGGTTCAATATATTCATTTTATAATGGAATAAAGAGCAATGACAGATATTAACTTACCATAGATTCAATTCTTCCACTCAAAGTCCGGTATTCCTGTGTACCTGGTGAATGTAACTGATCACTATATTCAGCATTTAAGATTTGAAAGCTGCTGCGGTAAAAGTAAGGTTTTTCATCTGTAAAAGAAAAAAAGAGGCAAAATCAGCCTCACGTTACAAAAAGTTCACTACTTATATTACTTGGGATTACGGAGGCAATATTACATAATTTAATAAATTTACTTTCCTTAAAAGAAAGAAAATGCTATATTTAATATAAATGTAATTATAAAATTACTATTTTTCTTTCAGTTTTTAAAGAAGATTGGCAAAAGCTAGAGTTGTTAAAGATGTATTAAAGTCAGAATAGCATCATTATTTGAGAAATTAAAATTGTTCAGTAATAGTTTTTATTCCACTATATTTTAGGGAGATTTGTGGTGGCATATTTATTCAAAAAACATTAATGAATGTGTATTATATTCTATTATTACTTTATCATTAATGAAGAACCCAAAGTAATTATAAATAGTTTTTAAAAATATTTCAAATAATATTCTTTACAGAGGAATTAGTGATTTGTCATTAGTCTTTCCTGGACTAAGCTAGAAAATAAGTCTCCCGACAGGGTATCTATTCTGATTGTTGAATGTGAATTTTTTCCATCAAAACAGGTCTTCCAAAGGACAAAGTCAGCTATGTAAAGGAGATAGAGTCCCTAAAACACACCTCATACATCTCAGAAACATTGTGAACAAGGCCATAACTAAATAAAATCTGTCTCAGGGAAAATCCGTGTTTGCTTTTGATCATTTGTAAACAGAATGTGTGCAGAGAAATACCTAGATCGAGAGGAAAAAGCTGGGGATCCTGGGAGAAGGGTTGTCCTTTGTAGCAGAAGATGGATAAGTCTTTCTTGGGTCACAGTGGTCACTGGGATACAATTTACAGAGCACTTACTAAGGTTCCTACTCTTATGTTTAAGTATGAGAATACAGTGTCATTAAGAGTGATAATTCATTTATTTAATCTGAAACTTGATGTCGCTTTTCCCTACTTTCTGGAATTCACCTTAGAGAGAGTTGACTCCAGGTAATTTTGTAAAAAAAAAAAAAAATAGTCAAAACACAAATTAGCCACAGATTTTTGGTAATAACTGGTTGAAATGATTATTCACAGTTACTGCCTTTTCTAATATTGGTAATTTTATTGTACCTTTGGGAATTTTTCAGCCTTTGCATGGTTAAGTATTTTTGCCCATTAAAAAATATTTTTACAATATTTTCTAAAACTCAAATTCTTTTATGGTCAATTTTGTTTACTCTTCAATGTTTATGATTTGTAAAAGGTGGAAAGAGCCTAAAGGTACAACAATAGGAGATAAAATAAATTAGGTTTTCTTTGTCTCTCAATTTCTCTCTCCTCCTCTTCCTTTTCCTCTCCCTCTTCCTCCTCTCCTCCTCCCTCTATTCCTTCACACTCACATACACACACACACACAAAAAAAAAAAATTTAAATGATTTAGCTAAAATATATCCGAAATAAAAATAATCTCACTGTGTATTTTAAAGAAAAGAAGCAGATTTTAACATGCATGATATTACGTAGTAAAATGTGACACATTTTATATATCCACATTAGAGCACTTGAAAAGGTATTCACCAAGGTATTTAGGAAGACTATGAATGAGCAGGGTATGCATATTCTTTATGTCATTTTTTATTATCTATGCTCCCTAATATTTTGGTGATATAATAATAAAAACTTAAATAATAAAAGAATAGAATTTTTTTAAAAGTTTATGTTTATTCCCTCTGTTCTTAACCGCAGAGTCATCTCTGGACCATCATTCCTATTCTACTTGTAAGACTGTATTTTCAGGAGACAAGACATGAATTGAACGATCCTTAGATATGTCCAGCTTTTAGGTGTTGAAACTTAACGGTTCTTTTTAATATTTCACTTTTATGATTTTATCAGGTTATTAAATGAAGAAGGAAATCATGGCAGTAATGAGAAACAAGATGGACAAATTCAAGCAACAGAAAAGTGTCAAGAGATTTTGTTTTCTTTGGCTAGGATAATCATTCCCTGAGTAATAATGTTTGGTAAACTATAAAGACTAAAGAAGAGAAAAAAATACTGATTATGGGAAAATACAAATGTAAACATATATTTAGGGAAGAAGTATAAGACATAATCATGTTACATTAAGAAACACAAGTGGCAAAAAGAGAGAGAGAATGCTGAACTTTTCATCTGAAAGTGTATTTAGTTGTCTAATCTGAAGAGCAATAATTTTCTGGTACTTACCAAAAGCTAAAAAGTGAACAAGTAGACCTATGGTCACTGCTAGAATCAACACCACTGCTACGACAACAAAACCGACGACACATGGATTCAGGTATCTTGAAGTTGATGGCACCCGTGCTGGCCTTAGAACAAGGGAAAAAGATCAGAGGTCACCCATTTTACCCATAGAAGCCATCATTTAGCGCTCATGATCATCTTCTGCCTTTCTAAACCTCTTAGATTGCACATGACTCTATTTATAGGAAACTGAGTAATTCTTCATTGGAGTATAGTCCTGGAAGTGAGCCTGAACTGAACAAGATTCTCTTTAATGGTTTTTCTTTTAAAAAATTTTCACCTCAAAAATGTTGACATTTAGGTAGTTTGATAGACGAATAAGGCAATGTGACCTATGGTTTACAATTGTTTTCCCTTTTTCTGCTAATTGATGAAATTCTCAAGAATAACTAATTGGTATCTATTTTACTATGTCTTCTTCTAGGACTCTATATTGGGCACTATTTTAGTAACCTCCTTTACCTGGGCACTTTCCCTAGGGATGAACAGAAGAGAGATTTTGGGGTGGAGGAGAGAAAAGAAGCCGGGATGGGGATGGGAGGGTCAGAACAGTAGCATTCCTCATTGCAATGTTCTTCATATTATTAAAAATAGAGATGTGCCAGAGCTGGTGGGAATGCAAAAATGGTACAGCTGCTGTGGAAAACAGTTTGGCAGTTCCTCAAAAAGGTAAAAATAGTGCTACCATCCCAAACCCACTGCTATCGAGTTGATTCTAACTCATAGTGACTCTATAGTGTTTCCAAGGCTGTATCTCTATGGAAGCAGGACTGCCACATCTTTCTCCCGTGGAGTAGCTGGTATCTTCAAACTGCTGACCTTTCAGTTTGCAGTTGATTGCTTTAACCACTGGTCAACCAGGGCTTCTTAGAGCTACCATATGACCCAGCAATTCCACCCTTAGGTATATCCTCACGAGATTTGAAAGCAGTGACGCAAACAGAAACACGTACACTGATGTTCATTGCAACACTATTCATAATAGCCAAAAAGTAGAAACAACCCAAATGTCCATCAACAGATGAATGGATAAACAGAATGTGGTATATAGTAGAATGGAGTACTACTCTCCTATAAAGAGAACTAAAGTCCTGATACATGCTACAACATGAAAGTATATTTAGATGTCTAGTACAAAGAGCAATAATTTTAAAACTTGAAAACATAGTGCTCAGTGAAATAGGCCAATCACAAAAGAAAAAAATATTGTATGATCTCACTAATGTGAAATAACTGGAAAAGGCAAATGTCTAGAGATTAGAGTTTAGTAGCATTTGCCAGGAGAGGGAAGGAGGGGAAAAGGGAGGAGTCATTGTTTAGGTAGCACTGAGTTTGAGGTTTTCTTTATGGGGTAGAAAATTTGGCAACGGGTATTGGTGGTGGTTGCACAACATGATTTACGTAATTAGTCTCACTGAACTGTACATGTGAAAAATGTCAAAATAGCAAATGTTGTGTTATCTATATTTTTATGACAATAAAAAAAAATGAGGATGTGGGAAAAGACAGACAGAGCTGGAATCCAGGAGAGTAGCAAACACCTGACATGAATTAGAACTGCACCAAGAACAGAGGATTTATATTATTTATCATTTTTTCCCCTGAATCAATCTGTTGCCATGTAAAGCAATGGGTTTATGCTCACACAGTATCTGGTATTATGTCAGGCATATTGACCAGGACCTATCTCATTCACTGCCGCCCTCTTCCAACCACACACACTCACACTGGGGTGGTCCCCAGAAGAATTGTGTATGAATTTCTGTTCTACCCCTTGTTTGCTTAGAGATCACATTGCAATTTATCTGTGACTTTCTTCATCTGAAAAATGGGAATAACAATATCTGCCTCACAGGGCTATTTTGAAGGTCAAATGAGTATGAAGTATACAGTTCTAGTTAAACAGGTAATTCACTAGGCTGTGAACCCCTTGAGGGTAAAGCAGGTGATCATGCTTGTGTTTCTAAAACTTTGTAGATGCCTGGCACATGTAGATGTTTTGTAAGTATTTATAATATTTATAAAATTTGTTGCGTGCATTAACTCCTGAACATGGTTCATATTTAAAAGCCGAGCTGAAAAGCAGTTACATTTAGCCAGACTATAGCCTGATTTTCATTTTTTTTTTCCCAGCATTTTAGTATTTTTGTGAAGGAACTGTTCTGAGTGTTAGTGGTTCCCAGACTTCTTGGTTTAACAGCAGAGTTGCCCAGTGTTATTTGGCCTTTACCCAACTTACATACCTATAAAAGGGCACCTCCCAGTGTAGTGTACCACTACTATAGTTGTATGCTGCGGCTCTAGGACCAGTACAATTTCAGAAGCTTACTCGAGGCTGATATAGATTTGACAACTTTCAGTTTTGTTGGATAAACATTTTACAAATTATGAAAATTAACCCTGCTCAAACATTATAATTTAATAAAAGAAATAAGATATAAAAATACATAAAAGTAGGAAGGACATAATCTCAGAATAAAAAAAAATAGATGAATAATATAGCTTTATGATGTCTTTACTATGTTGCCCTTATTTGTTCACTTTGCTTTATTAGTGAAAATAGACTCACTGACAATGTTCCAGAGAACCACTGCCGTCATAATTTTTGAGTTGGAGAAAATTGGCACTTTGACATTTGATAACTTTTTGGCCTCAGTTTCCTCATTTGTTAAATGGAAATGATGGCACCTACCTCATGGGGTTGTTGTGCCAATTACATGCACCCACGAATGTACAGTGTTTGGCATTTGTGAGTTCTGTAAATGTTAGTGGCTGCTGAACAGTGGAAGAACCAAAAAAAAAAAAAAAAAAAGGCAGAGACAGAGGCACGGGTAAACTCCAAAGCCTAAATAAGTCTCAAACTGATTAATCCTCCCCTCAACCACCAAGGATGAATTGTATTTTCAGAAATGAATTGATGTGTCAAAATTTATGTTACAGAGTGAGAAGTACTGAAAAACATGGATTAAATTGGGGCCAGAATTTCCCAAACCAAAAACCAAAGTCTAGAGTAAGCATATGTATTGGCTTGGATGACCCTCCCATGGGAACAACTTTAGAGCCATCTCCTGCTTTCAGTTCATGGAAGACATCTTAAACTCAAAGCCTGAAAAGCACCATGAGATGTATGACTCAATAAACAAAGGGCCTGGAGCCCGAATTACCTTAATCTCTCAAGCCACAATTAATTGCATAAAAATGGGTTGTTCCACCCTGTAGAAACAGCCGCAGAAATATCTGCTGTCTTGTTATTAGTGCAGCTTGTAGTTGAACCTCTGTATGTTGCTGATTATAAAGTTTATACCAACGCAAACTAAATTAAATTGTCCACAATATTTACCTTGCAGACTATTAGAAAAAATATGTTTGCAAATAGTGTCTGAAATTTGACTAACAGTGCAATGAATGGAATTCTGTGCAAGAAAATACTTTGCTTTTAAGAAGAGATCCTAATCAATTTAATTTTTAGTGCTTGCAAAACAAATATTCCATTCTCACACATTTAACCAGCTCCCTCCCCACCCCTTTCTCTATTTCTCTGACTTGGAAAAATTACACGAATGTTGGAAAACTTATCTCTCTATACTTTTAGTGTGTGAGCCTGTGTGTCAGGCCTTGTACTTTATTGTTGCCTGTCCTCACAATAACATCATATAGTAGGTATTATGATTCCCATTTTGAAGATAGGGAAACTGAGGTTTAAAGAGTCAATAATTCCTGATTACTGAGGAAGCAGTGGAGCTGGATACTGAACCCAGATTTATCTTAATCAAAGCACATGCACTTCCTCTCATATTCACTTCTTCCCTGAATACATTGCCTAACACTACAGGGGACAGGAAAACTTTGGGACTCCTGTCTCTCCTGACCTCAGTTGGGGGAACAAAAGGAATCGATATTTGTCGAATGCTTATTAAATGTCAAGAACTTTGCCTTACACACTGTAAGTGTGCAATAAAATGATTATTTTTAATTTGAAAGTATGCCCTACATTAATATGTCAGATTTACATAGGAATACTAATTAATCTCTGTCATTGATACATATTGCTGCAAAAGACCCCTTTAAAATCTTAAAAAGCAAAGATGTCACTTTGATGACTAAGGTGCACCTGATCCAAGCCATGCCATTTTTAATAGCCTCATATACACTCGAAAGCTGGACAAAAAAGAAGGAAAACCGAAGAATTGATGCATTTGAATTATGGTTGATGAAGAATATTGAAATACCATTGGTTGCCAGAAGAACAAGGAAATCTGTCTTGGAAGAAATACAGCCAGAATGCTCCTTGGAAGTGAGGATGGCGAGACTTCATCTGATATACTTTGGACATCCACCACTCCTCTGTCAGTTTGTCATATTGTGGTGGCTTGCTTGTTGCTGTGATGCTGGAAACTATGTCACTGGTATTGCAAATACCAGTAGGGACACCCACAGTGGACAGGATTCTGTGGAGCTTCCAGACTAAGACAGATTAGGAAGAAGGACCTGGCAGCCTATTTCTGAAAAAATTGGCCAGTGAAAACTTTATGACTAACAGCAGAATGGTGTCTGATATAGTACCAAAAGATGAGCCCCTCACGTTGGAAGGCACTCAAAATATGACTGGGGAAGAGCTGCCTCCTCAAAACAGAGTCGACCTTAATGAAGTGAATGGAGTAAAGCTTTCGGTACCTTCATTTGCTAATGTGACACGACTCAAAATGAAAAGAAATAGCTGTAAACATCCAGTAGTAACAGAACATGAATGTACAAAGTATGAATCTAGGAAAACTGGAAGTTGTCAAAAATGAAACGGAATGCTTGAAGATCAATATCCTAGGCATTATTGAGCTGAAATGGACTGGTATTGGCCATTTTGAATTGGACAGTCATAAAATCTTACTATGCTGGGAATGACCAATTGAAGAGGAACAGCATCACATTCATTGTCAAAAAGAACATTTCAAGATCTATGCAGAAGTACAGCACTGTCAGTGATAGGATAATATTCATATGCCTATAAGGATGACCAGTTAATACAACTATTATTCAAATTTACGCACCAACCACTAATGCCAAAGATGAAGAAATTGAAGATT